AGCTGTTCGAACTCTTTCAAATTTATTTTTTGCTTTTAATAAGCATCCACGAGTGCAATATGCTCTTTATGTTGCTTTGGTAGCCTTGTGCGGGCGAGCACGAATTATTGGCGACTTAGATACAAGTACTGAAAAAGTGAATGAATACATTAGTCGTTGGTCATTGGATCAAAAGCAGCAACGTAGTCTTTTGCGGTTGATTCATTGGGCTCTTATCCATGATGGAAGGGCTGATCAGGCAGCTAAAGTTGGTTTGATAAAATTTATGGCAATAAGAGAAAAATATTAAATTAGCGCTAAAGTAGTTGCAGTCTTGTACCATGAGTTTTAAATCAGTATGATTAGAATAATTGGGCTCCAAGAAAACCTTTGATCGAAAATATTTTCTGCATCTTACTAGTTGTGGGAGCATTTTTCCTAAACTCTGTAACTGAATTTCTTTAGCTTTTGAAACCTTGATTGTGTGTTATCATGGGAGAAAATGAATACTTCAGTTGATGACTTCGACTGGAGACATTATAGTCTTCGGTTTTTATCGATTTGTTGAGCATGTTTTTCAGATGTAATAATTTCACCGAGATTTTGAAAAAAATGTAATGCTGAATACTACCACAAATTTCAGCCTATAAAAATCATAATTACTTTCATCCTCTTACTAATAGTTTTTTCAGGTTCATGATCTCTTAAATAGTTAATAAACCAGGAGTCATTACAGTACTATGATACTTTTTTCCCTCTTTTAGACAATGACTGCATTACTGAGAACATACACTGATGCTGATGCTGTATCCGCTATAGAAGATGCTCGTGAATGTGTAAGAACAGCAATCGTAGATCCGAAATCGTTCAGTTTCGATCATCTGTTACGACTTTCTGCAGTACAGTTGCTAGAAAAAGTATAACATTTATTCAAGAAGTCAACCATTACTAGAGATGCTTAATAGTTTATTTGCAAATAATTTTTTGTGTTTAATATAAGTGTGTGAAAGCATAATTTCCTCTTTCACCTTTTTATTCGTTCGCTATGATTTCACCCATAATAATGCAATAGCAGAATGGATCTACTGTCACTTAAATGATAATAATGTCTAATGTATTTTCAGAATGATCCATTGATGCACGAAGTGTTAAAGCTGTTTTCTCAGGGTACTTTGAGAGATTATCAAGCTTTTGTTATGAAACATCCAACTTTTATTAGTGAGAAGTTACATGTTGATGATACAGTTTTGATCAAGAAGATGCGATTATTAACGCTGATGGATATAGCCGAAAAAAAAACTGTAAGTTTTTAGTGATTCATCAAAAACTAGAATTTTGTAATTTTCTGTGTGATAAATTTTTCTATTCAATCCAGCAGTTTCTTGAAATCAGGCGTAATAAATCTTAGAAGTAGAGTAAAATAACATTCCATTTTTTAGTTTCGAAAAATTTAGATTGGATCTACTAGATGTAACACTGCAAATATTTTTCGTAAGGAAAAAAGTTTTTTAGCTATATTTGATGCCGGATTATTTACAGGTCATATCACTTCATGATTTATCGCTTGAAGTTGATATACCAGAGAATGAAGAGCTTGAGGAATTTATAATTGAAGCAATTAGAATAAATGCAATCAGCGTACGTCTGCTTTTGTTTCTTAAGAAATTTTTAAAAATCTATTGCAAAGCAATTTGGAAACTTGCTTAAAATGTTTTGATATACCAGTGGTTTTTTTGCATGATATGTTCGTTTCATAAAAGTATATATTCCAGGGCAAGATAAATGAGTTAAAAAAAGAACTCAATGTGACGTCGCTTCAACATCGACGTTTTGGTCGTCCACAGTGGGAACTTCTTCGAAAACGGCTTATTACATTAATCGGTAGCTTGAGTACATCACATGAAAATATCAAGAATGTGTATGCTAATGGTGGCACTACATAATTTATATTCACTTGTATTGTATTTTAAAATTTGAAGTATGATATTTTTTATTCACTGTGACATTAAAATTTTTCATAATTAGTAAACGAAGAATACATTAATTACTGAATGGAGATTTATAATACTGAATTCTCACCAAGTAATCGTTTGAAAAGTGGCATCTGTTAATCGTTTAAAAAATATATTGTTGTTGATAAATTCGCTTTGGTTGTAACTTCGAGAGTATAATAAACTTCATGTGAAGATTATTATCGTTTTAAATTGCGTCGTTTGTGCAACTTTACTTTTTATTTTCTGCTGCAGATTGATTTCTGATTTAAAGGTTTTGGAAGGATCTGCGATGTTAAGGTCCAAGAGTTTTTTCTTTAGATCGTTTTACTTTATGAAAGTTTTCTGACGTATCTTGGAAATCATGCAAAATCATTTTTTGCTGTATTTAAGGTATCGCTGCAAACATCATTGAATGGATGCTGCTGGAGGTGGTACTGGATCTTCCCAAGTAGAAACTATTGATAAAGAACAAGTGTTTGAGTGGATCTTAGATTTGAGTGATTCAAGTAAGCGAGAACAAGCACTGCTGGAATTAAGGTACATCCCATCAATGTTTGCTTTGTGTTGCAATGAACTTGAGTGGTCATTGATCTAATGTCTTTCTCTTTTTAAGTTGGTGTATTCCAAAAGTTTTGCCTATTTTATGGTTTTTGAGAATTTTGAACGGTATTTATTCGAACAAAATAAAGATGTTTTGGTTTTTAAGAGGTTGAAGATGCATTTAAATTTCTCATTGTGTGTAAAGTACAGCAAAAAGCGAGAAACAGTTCCTGATCTACCTTTATGGTTGTGGTATTCATTTGGCTCAATGGCTTCTTTGTTGCAAGAAGTAATCTCAATCTATCCAGCAATCATGCCACCGACACTTACCGCAGGGCAATCTAACCGTGTATGTAATGCTCTGGCTTTGATGCAATGTGTTGCATCGCACAAGGAAACTAGAAGTCCATTTTTACAGGGTATTTTTCAAATTTTTTGAAGAGATCAGTGATAGTCCTTAGAGTTTGACGTTTAGTGGAGTTTAGCTTAATTTTTTTGGGCTATATTTTTTTTAAATATATGGTTTCTGTTATTTTTCTGACATTAGCACTATTTTAGCGTAGTTTACATTTCTAACAAATGTATCCGATATTACATTTAACAATAAGCAGTTATTTGTATTTTTAAACATAGCAGAACGTTGTAAAGATTGAGAATTACTATGAAAATTTTCAAAAAAGTCCATTTTATATGACAGATATAGCTTGCAGCTAGTTGTCACTCCTATAAGGAAGTAGGGGATTATAAGTAAAAAAGCCAATCCAGTCGGAAACAGTTATCTAATTCAAAAGGTTGAAATATTTGTATTGATTTTTTGCAGCTCATATTCCGTTGTTCCTGTATCCATTTTTGCACACAACGAAGACTTCGCGACCGTTTGAATATCTGCGCTTGACATCTTTAGGTGTCATTGGTGCGTTGGTGAAAACTGATGAACAGGTAAACAAGCTGTTGAACTGCTGAACCATTAAGCTTCTAATTTTACTTCTAAATAACTGTTGTGATTTTAATCAGTTTAATAGATAATTTTTTATAGGAAGTTATCCAGTTCCTGCTTTCAACGGAAATAATTCCATTATGTTTGCGAATTATGGAAAACGGAACAGAATTATCAAAAACTGTTGCCACTTTCATTTTACAGAAAATATTGCTTGATGATACCGGTCTAGCGTACATCTGTCAAACTTATGAGCGCTTTTCCCACGTTGCTATGATTTTGGTGAGGTCATAAATATTTAAGCTTCACTGGCGGCTTTTTGTGTATGCTAAGCAATCTTTTAATGGGGTCCAAAGTTACATTGTAAATGTTTATTGTTAAGCAATTGCGGTTTTTTCTGTATCTAAATTTGGTAAATGGAAATGGTTATACTGTGACCTCCGACGGTCCACTCTGACTGACTGCGGTTTAAGGAAATGTTCTTACATTGTTCACGAATGTTTAAGGATGGTTTGTAAGGGTACGTCGTCGTATTACAGGGCAAAATGGTGTTACATTTGGCGAAAGAACCGTCACAGCGACTTCTGAAGCATGTTGTTCGGTGTTATAGCCGTCTTTCTGACAATCCAAGGCATTTATTTTCTCTCATTTTGTTTAATTAAAGTTATGAAAGCACACATTCTTGATTCCGAAGTAATGTAATAGTATTATTTCTCCCCTTTGTAAACGAAGAAAAGTCATGCCTGGGTTCCTACTTCCCAATTTTTTTTGTATATAATTATTAATAATTTTCAGAGCACTGCAAGCATTACGACAGTGTTTACCGGATCAGCTGAGGGATGAAACTTTTACTCGAGTCCTCGCAGATGACAAATCGACCAGACATTGGTTGAAACAACTTCTGAAAAATATTGGTAAATTTAATTGGGAGTTTTGGTTCTCTAAAATAAATTATTGAAAACAACTTGCTATCCAGACCGTTTTGTCATTTAACCATTTAGGGAATACAGAATGTTATTTTTCAGGTTTTTCTGTGAGCCCCTGAAACAACTATTGTTTTTCAAAAATATCCAAGAGCAGGAAATGTAGAAGATGTCTCTGTATGAAGCAAATTTTTATAAGCTGATTGCATATTGTCGATCAATGAACTGTGTTCAAATTCTTTTCAGATGCAATTGTTATTATTTCTGATGAAAAATATGGATTTGTACAGAATGGTTTTATTACAATGTTATGTGATTGCCATCTCTTTTGTTACTAAGTATCCAAACTTTTATTTTCGTAGCATATGACCATCGAATTTGCTAAAAATTGGGAAGCGTGCTGTAAACAAATCTGAAAGTCATCGTAGAAAAGTAGAAAGCCTGCAGCAAAACCTGCCGAATACAGTAAGCCAAAGTAATACACCAATTTTATTTTTCACATTTCAACAACCGAAAGACCTTAAAAATCTTAAAAGTTTAAAGCAGTTAGTGCCGGTGTCAAAAACAGCAAATAATGGCAATTATCGAGTTTGTCAGCAACAAACAAACACGAAAGTTTTTTCAGTGAATGCCTGATGTAATAATGGATTGTCGTTTTCCTTTTAGGGTTGCTAACCTTCTAATTTTGATATTTCATATGTATTACTTTCACCCGTGACCAATCCCCGTCTGATAGCACATTTCGATATTCGAAGATCTCTCTTACTGGGATAAGCTACTAACAGTGCACCGCTATGTTGTTTGATCTAAAATGAGTGTAGGGGTAGTGTCGATTTACAACCACAAAATTATTTTCTACATCAAGTTGTCATAAGCACTAGTAAGAAATTTAGGACAATCATCTCTTGCAAAAAACGGTAATTTATTTGAAATAGGTAGAATACATCTACTTACCTTAACTTGTTCAATAACTAAATCTGTCAGGCATCCTTGCATAACAGCTTCTTCGATGAATTTATCCATTATTCTTACGCAAGTATCTTCTGTTATAGTACTTGTTATTTCTACCAATATATCTTTTGTATCCACATCAAGCTGCAATCAAGCGTTGCAAAAGAAGAGCTTTTCATCATTCGTTTTCGCACAAAAACACAAAAAGTATGTGACCTTTGTCTCTTCGCAATTCGTTACGGGCGGCACACTGAGAATCAAGCCATTTGCATCCATCAAAAATGGATAAAGCGGTAGCTTTTGAATAAGATGCATGTACCTGGAATGCCTACGTGTAAGATTTCCTGAAAGGGAAACTTATTCGCTTTACTAAGCTTCATAGCTTCAGAAGATGTACAGTTGTAATAAGAATATCGTTTTAATTTTACTCAATTTAATCAGTAAAAAAGTTTTTAAATGAGAATCTACCAACTTATAAGTATTTGATACTACATTTCGCCTTTCATTTTTTCGAATTAGTTCCGCTTCATTTGCCAAGTTTAACAACAGTTCTCTCCCAGAAATTTTTTTTTGTCGATGTAATGGTGTTATCTGTAACAATAAGTCTCTGATAATTTGAGAAATAAAATTTTTAGGAAAAAATATATGAGCACACCATTAATGCATCAGGATGAGCAGCTCCATAAATCAGAGGAGGTTGAAGCTTGCGGAAGTCGTGCGTTCCAATGCTTGCAATAGTTCTTTCTTCACAAACAGATGAATGCAACTTATTCTGAAACAGAAGTTGAGTTAAAGAAACACATTAGGAATTTCATTTCTCGCAGTCATATGCAGTAATATATCAACGCATAGGTGAATATACACATTCTTAACTGCAGTGACAAAATAGAAAAAAGATAAAATACCTGAATCTTCAATAACTGTTTCACTTTTTCCGCATTTAATGAGCAGTCTTTCAAAATACAACAGGCAATAAATGGACGAATTTCCAGTGCTTCTTTCTTTCTTTCAACTAATTCCTAGATATGAAAATTTTGAGTATCGTCAATTAATTATCTCATATTTCTTTCAATTACTTCAAAAGCATATTTTTCGAAACAAATTACTTACACTATTCATTCTATAAGTGACTGTAATTACTGGAACATTTGATACATACTCATCTTTGTCAATGTTACTTTTAACCGAATTTGGTTTTGGTTCTTTTCCATCATTGTTCTTTATCGATGGTTTTGGTGCTTTCTTTTTCAAATAATCTATTAGAGTCCAGGTCTTGTGTCTTGGATCCTCGATTAATTTTTTAAAGCGATTATCCGAAAATCTGAAATTATTACTCATTATAATATGAAATTAAATCCAAACGAACCAAACATAAATAATGAGAATCAGTTAGATAACATGTGCCTACTTATTGTTAGCGAGTTCTAGTGTTTTTATCTTTTTGCAGTTGCAAAATAAGAATGGAAGATCGACGATTTCGTTATCCGACAAATTCACGGTCTTCAAATTGTCGTTAAGTGAATTCACTTCGACAGGCAATTCCCTGATATAATTCGAATTAAGGATCAAAGTGTGCAACTTTGACTGATTGGGGAACGAAGTTGGAAACTCGGTTAACTGATTGTGGGACACATCGAGGTGCTGTAGGGAAACAAGACCTGTCATATCGGGCAGCAACGAAATCTGAAAGAAGGAAAAATATATAAACTGTAATTACAGTATTCATGTTATCAAGAAACTGTTATAGTAACCATGAAAAAACAAAAGTCGAAAATCGATGAAACAAAATTGTTTCTTCGATTTTCAGAAAGATGGGAAATAATCATCCATATATACTTTGTTATGCGCAAGTAAGAGCGTTGAGAGATGAGACAAAGAACCAATTGCCGCTGGAAGCCGATCAAGTTTGTTTGTTGATAAATCGAGAAATTGCAATTCTTTTAAGTCACCAATATCCTCCGGAATATTTACTAAAGCATTACTATGTAATATAAGCTTCTTCAGTTTCGATGCTTTCTTCAAACAGATGTGCAATATGCTCAGCTCAAGTCGAGTAAGTTCAATGTAGTTGAGTGGAGTATTCTAAAACGAAAGATGTAAGTGAAATTAAACTAATTGAAAATACATTTTTGTTATATAATTCAAATTTGTTTCATAGTGTAATTTTACAGCTCGGATGTCAACGATTAAGGACTAAAACATTTTCAACAGTGCAACGTGTAAATGAAAAGGACAATGTAAAAGAACAGAAAGTAAGTCTCTTTTTTATTATGAGTAAAACTTACTGAAGCAAAAATTTCGCCTTGCAACTGTTCATCGTTGATGTCTGGATTTCGGTCTCCAGCTGATATAGAAGTCAGACTAAGTTCGCATCGGCCCTCCGCTATAACTCGCTTTAATTCTGGCCATTCCAATAACAGCTCATTATCCGACATAATACTATAATTGGAACACTACGAAAGTACTGCTTGAACAGTTTGGCGTCAAATAAATATAGAACATGTCTGTTTGAGAGAGCGAAGAATATAGTGCTTGTCTGAGTTATACATAAACTTTAAATTCTTAACAAGCAATTCAGACTCCATCAAATATTAATAATACTGCTCTTCCGATAAGTCAATTGGCACTATCTCTAAAAGCCATCTCGAATAAAGTCAAAATGAATAACTATCAGTTACAATCATTGCCGAAAATATGACATATTCAAGATCTTAAAAAAATCAAGAAAGTGGAAAGCTGGTCTTAAATTTTTATCAAGCCTGTTACAAGGGTAAGCCTAGAAGAAAAAACAAAATTCACTTTAACCATATAGTTCAAATATTTTTGGTATTTGCAATACATTTGAGCAAATCAAAAATGCAACGCAACTAATCAGTGATCCAAATGATTTGAAAATTGGCATTGTGATCGATTCTTCTCCTTATTCTTTATAAGGAAACTACCACTCCGTTCATCTAACCTTAGAAGGGATTTTCAGGCTACGTAAGTGAGGGCAACTTTCCTTCTCGACGGAAAATGCCCAGAGCAAGCCACCTCTATGAGAGCAACTAACAACAATTTTTAAATAGTGATCTTTAAATAATGTCCTCTCCCATCATAAATCTATTGACAATCGTCGAGCAACGTACGAAGAAACATAGTTTATTAGGAGAGGAAAAGAAGGAAGAGAAATATGCAAGATATTGCGATACCATAGAGTTATAGGTTAAGAAATTTTCAGAGGAACATAAAGTGCAGCGGAACAAAGACTGAGAGTATACGAGAAGTATAGGCGACGCGGAGAGGACAAAGATTGAGAAGAAGCGTGAAAGACAACGGGATGATGCTGAGCGCAGTGATAGGAAGGAATGTGTTCAATTTTTTTCCATTTCACTAATAATTGTTTCTTTAGCATACAACTTTTCTGTTTGATCTTTTCTCTGGTGAAAACAGCAGAAGGTATAAAATTGAATTCATTCGATATTTTAGGAATTTATCACTCTGAATGTTTCCATTTTAGTTAATGACAATTTTACTTTTGGATTTTATTCGTGTCATTTTACTGTTTCAAACTCAAATTTTATCAGAAAATAGTGTTCATAATATTGGTACTGATCGTCTTGTTTTATTTTGTCTTCTTTGTCTTTCTGTATCTTATATTTTGTACGATTCTCAGGTTTGAAACAACAAATATAATCTATAATGTTTGCAAGAAAGAGTTACCATCGGCACTTTCATCTTATCATTTCCTTTTTTTCCCTATAAAATATATTTCAAAATTCTGCCTATTTGCTTTATGCAACGCTATATAATTGTTATTATTATAGATATAAGGAGAATATTGTGCAAATAAGCGGCCCTTACATGATAGCTTCCAGTCAGCATCGAGAATTTAATAGCATCTTTTCTTTCTAACTTTTACAGTGCACGATTTTTCAACCAATCAAAAATGCTTCCAAAAAAAAAAATTGCAGAAAATTCAGTAAAAAAATTAAATGGCAGAATTATTATAAATTACAAAATTCTACAGGCAATAGGAACTGTTTCATCTGTAGGTGATCAGCTCTGGAAAGCTCTCACATAGAATCACAGATGTGTGGAAAATGTGTTGCTGGACTTAATCCGTGAAAAAGATCTCCACCACCGTTGTTTGTGCTCCGTTTCCTATACCATCTGTTGCCTCCGATAGCACCATTTAATCGTCGTTCACGGTTGGCGTTTTCGTGGTTTCGCCGGCTTTCTCCGATGTGATGTCCATGATTGTAATAATCATATTCCCGGCTACTTCCATGATTATGATAGCCATGCTCGTGACTATCTTCAGAACTGTGATGACTATGATGTCCGTGGTCATGCCAATGTTCATCATCTTGACTGTGATAATCATGATTGCGATCAGACCAATCGTTATGATTTGCATGCAGATGTGCACCATGTACATGATCGTGATCATAATGACCATGATCGTGATTATGATGATCATGATCGTGATTGTGATGATCATGATCGTGACCATAATGAGCATGATCATGATGATCGTGATCGTGATCGTGATCATGATGATAGGAGTCATGATTGTGGTTATGGTGATCATGATTATGACCGTCACCGCCCATATTGTGGTTATGGTTATCGTGATTGTGCCATCCATTATGGATATGCCTTTGCTAAAAGGACTGTAATACGTTATTGAAATAAAATAGTGAAAATAATATAATCAAAATTTTCAGTGCTACCAATTATTTTGCAAAAAAATTAGACAGAATGCTTAAAATATATGACATAAACTTTATCTGCTTTTTTTCAGAAATATTTCAACAAATAAACCGACATGTGTAACAAGTTGATTAAAAGCGCCAGACCAATGTTCCACCTCCTCCATTTCAGCTGCTGTTAAATATCGTTTAAATACGCCATTAATAAAAAGTTTACCATTCTAAATTTTTTAAATTCACTTAAATATAAAAGTTCTATGTCTTTATTTGTAGGATCATAGAAATAAATGCTATTAACTTTTTTACAAGAAGATGAAATTCATTTAATTTTATGACTTTTAAGCTTTGAGAGAAAGAAGCCCTTTTTTCAAATATATATCGAATATCTTAAAATGATTTTTTTATTAACTAAGATGAATCGTCGCCTGCTTGGTTAAAATCATTAATCGTCCTTTTTTATAGTTATAGAAGTTAAAATTTAAAAGAATTAAAGTAATATTAATAATAAATCCGCACTTGAATAGAACAAGTTTTGCCGTTTTTATTAAAGGTATAGCTGTTACCACTTAGGATTGACGCTGATTCTGTTAATTTGATGGTAGCGAAAGCGACGAGCCTGAAGAAGAGATTTATACATCTGACCATAATAAATCTTCGATCAATTTGCTATTGCATTATGCAAAATTTTCAGCAAATTTAGAGATTTATGGTTGCCATTCAGAATAAATCTCAAAATAACGAATGTCAACAAAGATCACAAACTTTTTCAAAGGTCCAGTAATGATTATCGAAATGTGAAATGAGTTTAAATGGAATAGCAATCAAACCACTTACAATAATGCTCAGTGATTATAGGCCTAATCAGCTTGCACCAATAATTGGGTATCATTTTATTTGTAAATGCATGAACAGAAGAAATGAACAATTAACGATTTTGATAAGGGAGAAAGTTAAGGTTAATTATTGAACAGAAAAGAAACGAACCAAATGAATGGAAGGTCAATTGTGAGATAAGCCATCGAAATGTCACGTTAGCTAACTGAATGTTGTGTTGTTTGCTATGAAGCATTTATTCATCTATTATTGTCTTGCAAAACAACTACCGGTTTATATGAGTGCTACATGCTAATCCAACCGCAGCCAGAGATTTTCTCCTAATTTATCACTTCGAATAAAATTTTGTTAACATCAATTAATTATTTGACAAGATTAAAAATGAAGATCGACAATTTAAATAGGTTGATACACGCTTTCTCTCCTTCTCCACCTGCTGTTATCTCTTTCTATCTATATTTAAAACTGGTTTGCAAAAATCAACATGAAGTTTACATAACATAATTTATACTTTTCCTTCGATAAATCACGCCAAATTTAGATTTTGAACAGCCGCAAACATCTGATGATCCGAAATTTGGAGAAATTATAACAAAAAAATTATTACTATTCCTAAACATTAGTTATTGTTGTTGATGTTCAGCTTTATGCAATATTTACAATTTCGAGACCCCAAAAGCTATATTTATTTTCAATTGAAAAAATGCTAGATGACAAGATGTTCTGTCAGAATTGTAATGGCCATGGATCGGTCATTTTTGCTTATTTCGAAATACCTCATTTCCATATTTTGCATTTGAATGACAATACTGGAGTATTTAAGAAAAATTTTGAGGAAAAGGACGTTCAGTGACTTCTCATTACTGAATGTCCTGACATTCAGTAGTGAGAAGTCACAAATGTTTGTCCATAGATATATTAGAACATTCCAAATGGACTCTTTGTTTAGCAGATCACAACTTTCATAAAATCTCCAAATTCTATTTTCGCTATTTGATTGGATCAGATATGTAATTAAACTTAGTTTTCTGAATTACACTTGATAAATAAACTTAATGTTCTAATAAAATTTCAATTCTCAAACTTTCTCATGGTGCATTATATTTACCATAAATCATTGATTTCAAGAAGTTTAATTTCTCTAAAAGTACTTTAAAATTCTCTTAGATTCTTTGTTAAAATACTTCCAAATGATTGTTTTAAGAAAATATTAGCTTTTTTATCTTTCAATCATATTTTTTTAATGGTTTGTGTTTGAATTGAAAGATACCTTATATAAAATGCAAAAAATGAGTTAATTTTCCGATCTAGAATTACTTCAACTATTTAATGCCATTTAATCGGAGCTGTATTAAATTTTTTCCTAACTATATGAGGTAATTGACATTACATGATTTAAAATATTTGAAAATGAAAAAAATTGGTTCTTATTAGAGAAAATCTGATAATGATTTCTGAATTCAAATTTTCGGTATAGTTAGCGAAACGAATGTGTTATCAAATTTGACTGAACTTTCTATTGTTTTCGGATTCAGTTTTTTACTTTCGATATCGATGTGATCATTTCTTGCATTTCCAAATACTATTTTTAGAATTTTACATTTTTTGAGTTGGTGTAGGTCAAATGATTTTTATGCTTTTTTTAGAATTGAAATTCTGCTGCATTCGAAAATGCATTACAGGGATGTTCATTCAACCGTTTGCAATTGCATGACACGATGACATGACCTTTTCTTTGATAATAATGATGATGACGATGGTTGAAATGCGGTGATTTTAATGGAGGTTCGTTGGTGTTCAGTAACCTATTTTTAACATTCTTGAAATTTATAGATCCCACAAACGCTTTTTTCAACTCAATCTTCTTTCTTATCCCTTTAATCTATTCAGACAATCTTTCCAATTATCAGTTCCTCTCTTACTTTGACCGTTAGCTTTCCACTTTGCAAGTGTTTTAAAAATGATACATTTTATAGAAAAATTGGAGTAAATATTAGCATCCTAGAAGGATTGATGAATTTCGATCAAACTATTGAATTTTTAATATTTTTCCTCGTGAAAACAGGTGAAAAGTTATATCTTCGAATATTTATATATCACTTGAAGAGCTTCTATTCTCAAAGAAATTACTGTATGCATAATTTGCAAAAAAAGAATTTTGTTTAAAATTCTTTATCTTTTTTTATATCTCTGAAATTTATCTTTAAGTTGAGATTGACAGATATTAATTATGGTCAAATTCGATTTTAATTTTAGCATGTGGCCAGCTTGCAGCAGTTTTTTCTGAGGTAACACAGAGCAGTGATTGTTCAAATTGGAGCACATGGGGATCGTGCATTTGGCCCGATAGAGAATTCAATGTTCGTTTCATCAGCTGGTTTAGTATTTCTTATATTTCAGTTCTATGAATCCCGTTTTCAAACTATTTCAGCCTTCCAGGTCTTGAGAAATTTAAGACTTTAAAAGAGCATCTATGAGAGGTTTGGTGCTAGAAATTTGTCATATGTGGCAACAATAAATGATTGTCACAAATTTTTTCGTCTTGTCCTATCAATAACCACCAATTTGCACTAGTTTCTAGCATACGCTGAGGTTAAAAGTGAGATAACAAGGCCAATTTATGGGATTCCGTTTTCTTCCCTGCAAAGTTAAAATTTTTAGAAATTTACAAAACACATTTTTCGAAATTTTCGAATAAGAATTCAATCATTATAGACAACATATATGAATCAAATATCACCTGTCTGTCAACAACACTGGTTTTACAAACTCGTAAATCAACGATACGGGAAAGCATTGCAAAGTTTTTACTCCTACATGGGTTCTGTTCTCATCAACAAAAGAGCATGTGGAATGTGCTCATACAAACAGAGTTGTGGTTACGGCGGCATTAAGAAATGCAACCTTAGTCCATTTGAGTAGGTACCTTATTTTTACCTTAAATAGCGACACTTTTCTAAGTTAGCATAATTACCAATCATTGAGATATTTACTATCCTGGTACTTTTATTAAAATAATTAATTGATATATAATTTGGTACCATTCTATTACCGAAATTAAACCCAAGCGTTTCATCAATAGAAGAAAAAATTAACGAAGTAAAGAATTACAATCTCTTAGTTTACCCGTCACTCTCACAACTCTTGCACTATTTATCAAACATATTATCTTAGCACGGTTCAATCCGTGACACTGAATGCCTAATACTGAATTTTGCATTGTAACGACTCCTGGTATCACCAATTATTGAGTACGATCACGTATATGCTAATCAAAATAGTGTTAACCAATTACTGCTTAAAAATATAAATTTTACATTTCCAGGATACGTGGTGGACGGCCACTTATCCCATTTTATGTATCTGAACGGATCTGCAAGCAAAAGGATCTTTTAGGCGTAGATCAAATGGATAGTTGTCAAGTAGACTACAATAAATTGTCGGCAAGTTTTGAGATTCATAAAAATCGAAAGTCAGAAGGTAGATCTTATAGATAAAGCAAGATTCTTGCCTAAAATGTGTAAATGAATGCAGCATGATAATTCAATTCCAGCTGAATGGTGAAGAATGTAAATTATGGCCAAGTGATGAAGTAGATCTCAGTCAAGTTGAACCAGTTTTCCAAAAACAAATACGATCATTGAAGTGGTACGAATGTGTTGTGCAAAATAAGCAAGTTTATTAATTTTTCCTAAAATGTTCACCTTACTTATCTTTGGTTAAGCAAAAACAATAAATTTAAATTGTCCACCGACTCTATGATTCCGATAGGTTATCTGTTTATATATTTCATGTTAACGAAAAATTTAGCGATATCGTATCGATAAATTCCTTTTTTCATCGCATTAGGCAATTCTTAAACTAACATAATAAATAATAAATCCCTTTGAATATTATTTTTTAATTCTGTATAAGACTACAGTTGCAGGATAAATAGATTGAAGAGACGTAAACATGAGAAAGTATGTCGCTGTTGTTGTTTTCCATTCCGACCGAACCCTAAAACTTATCGATGTGAACATATTCCGAACGCTCCAATAGCACCAGGATTAGAAATGAAATGAAAGCTCGTTGTACTTATAATGTTGGCAGCATAAATAAAGATAAGTTAGTACCGCTATCAAAGAACGTTACTAAAACACATGAAAATAAAGAGGTCATACAAACATGAAATTATGAAACATAAAATAAGTAAAAAGTTGTTTATCAAAGAAGTAATTAAATAAAGACAAAGATGGAAGAAAAACTGCAAGCAGTGTTTGACTAGACTACCTTGAATTTAAAACTGCTTTTTGAGATACAGTTAAATTTGAAAACCAGATAGCGTCAAATTTCATCAATAATGGTCTCAGCAATGCTGAACTGTCTAGCACTTGAATAGAAAATATGATAACACTTTTTTGGAAAATAAATAACTTAGGAAATCTGCATTGCTTATCCCTCATAAAACTTTAAAAAAAATTTTGATTTTCAAAATGTGCTTATAAATATAAAGACTTCACCATATGGAACATCCATTAGTTTTCCTTTCCCTCTTTAGTTTGTGTGGACCTGAAACTACTGAGAGAATAAGCCACACGATATTTTCGGCTAATTATTCTATTTAAATAAAATTAAATATTTTTCTTCTAAGTAATGGTATATTGTTTAAATTAGACATTTTCGAAGTATCATTACTTAGATGGCATTTAAATTTCTTACTTCAATAATGTCGTCATCTACATCCAATTCGCAAACTGCACTTTGTTTTGACGTTTTCCGAGAATCTGATAAAGTAATTACTTCACCTGGAGCGCTACCAGCACCTATCGATAACTCGCCACGTAGTACTGAGTTACCATACAAATAAGGCCGAAAAAGGCATACGTTGTTATATAACAATATGATTCATCCTTTTAGCCATATTATAGCGATGTTATATAATTCGGTCTATCACTTACATAGTTAAGTTACCGGTTGAAATGAAATTACGCTTAAAAACAGACAATATACCTGAAATACTTTATTAATTTTTCAGCAAAATCTTTGCTACGTTTGTCCGTAGTATTCGGATAAGCGCGTACAGGTCTTAACAAGCTAAAAGCATTCTCCATTTCAGTAAGCGAACAATGGCCTGCATAAAATAGACGGCAAAATCGGTTATTTTCATATCCCACTACACTGAAATTGAACAGCTCTATAAGTTGCAGCGATCTATAAGCGTTTTCAAGTCTACTCTTTACTTTGTTTTAATTTCGTCCTCAAATGCACTTTGCAGATCAACTTTTTCACACATATTTATTACTGAAGTTTCAGTGAATAGTGAACTAACTTTTTTTTATTCCTCCTCAAAAACCAAATTGCTGACGGCTTTATAACCCGCACATTATTATGGTCTGGACGACACTGCCAACAGGCTGACATCTGGAAGCTTTCAAAACATCAAACCGCTTTTATCACAAATTTTCTAGTGATGAAATTCAATCATTCCACCTTTTGTTTGAAGTTGACGTTATCTTTTCTCTTCACCACTATGTTTTGCTTATTCTCATAAAAAACTTCTTCTGTTACATTCGGTTTTGTGCTGCATGCATGTATACGAGTGTCTCGTGCAACCGGCGTTATACAATCAGCAAGAAAATCAATTTCTGTAATATTAAATGCTTTGCTGATTCACAAAAAGAAAGCAATATTAAGAATGAAATGAAAATCCTTCATAATAGTAAAAATAGTTTTGAAAGCAAATAAAAATCACACACTTGAATATATACGATATTTCATTGTGGTTACATGACATTTAATATGGAGTTCATCCCAAATCACTTTCAATAGAAGTTCATGGCCAAATCTACCTGAAATTAATATCACGTAATGACCACATCACATACACCCGAAAAATTCTTCAAACTCATCAATTTAATGATAAGATTAAAAAATTTTAGAAAGTTTGACTTTACTTACTACACCATATTAAAACTTTATTATTCGAATCTTTTTCCAACCAATCCTTCACTATTTTAACACAAAGTGCACAACTTTGCTTCAATGTTGGTATATTTTCTGCTCCTCTTCGACAGAATGTACTGTCAAAATACAATGCATCAAGATGTTTAAAACCAGAGCTGAAAAAATGTGATCAGAAACATGCAAATGGATTTTTGAGCACTTTTTAATGATTTCATACAATAAACAGCTACATCATCAACCTGCTGAGTGGATCTTTGAGCATATCGCAGGCAATCCAATCATCTTTTGATAAGCGATAATCTCCCGTATACAGTAGTCTGAAGCCATTGTGGAATTCAAACAGAATCCTAAATAGAATAGAAGGCATGAAATTAAGAATACCCATGTGGAATTAATTCTACAGTAGACATAAGTTATTCTCAGCTTAAAAATTTACATAGTAGAGCCTGGCATGTGCTGGGCATCCAGAAACGTAACATCAGCTGATGATGATGGGAGCAGTGATTCGCGTTTTTCGTCATCACAGATAGCAGTTATCGTGAATTTCTCATTATAATTTTTTGATACGATATGCTCCTTAAACTTTCCGCGAATTGATTTTTTTGGTAAGTATGAATCAATAATACACACTATGATAAAAAGTTTTCATTTTAGGATTCCCTGCTAAATGAAAATCTGACAGTCCTCTTTGGAAAACTGAACTTCGATACAATGTCTGCTAAAATTAAAATCAACTATCCAATAGTCGGCTCAAAGAATACATTTAAAAAAAAATTTTTTTTTACCAGCAATCTTGAGTAATAATGCTCTGCAGTGAGAAGGATTTTCGATATTTTGTGGCAGTAAAACACAGCAAATTTTTCACTTATTAATGCATACAACTGGTCACTATCTAATCCCTGCATGTGATCTAAAAAAAAATATAATAATAACGA